TGCAGAAGTCTTTGAAGTGATTCCAAAGGTCTTGCTCATTTCCCATGCTTTCCTCAGTTTCCTTGCTTGTTATTTGGCAATGTAATAAATACGGGCATCCCAGAGAAGCTCATTGTCTTAGTCCTCATCATAGCCACAGAGTCAAGAACTCTGCAGAGGGTTTTGATCCTACTGGAGCCCTAAAATCATGCCACTTGTCTCATTTGTTTTAAGCCTTCGCAGTTCACTCATTTGGGAGATTGGGGATCCAAGCCTGACCCCGACAAAAGGAAAAGTTGCATATGGAACTTGATGGAAGTTTGAAAGGGAAGCAATGGGAATTGTGTAGGGAGGAGCAGAGATAAATGGATCAAGGTAGCCAAAGTCAGCTCCTCTATGGCTTAACTCTGGGGTTGTCTCTGGGCTCTGAACTTTAGATTCTGCTTGGGATATAGATTTTATGCTGAATAATTGTGTGTACGGGAGGAGTGCTTTTCTGTTGGCCTTGGAGAAATTTTTCTCTACGTTCTTATTCATCATAAAGAGTATTGAAATACAATTTTTTCTATGGTGAGAGTACAGTACTTCTGGAAGAAGATTTTCTTTTGTCTTTATTCCCAAGGTGAGTCCCAAATCCCTCCTTTTTCTGTCATCAGCACAGAATCACATTCATACAAAGCAGGACCCCAGAGGCCTTGACCTCTGGGAATTTTACTCATAGACATAAAGTCAGCCTCTTCTCCTGGCTTATCATTCCCTGAGGCCTACTATCCAGGCTTTATGAGCTCTGGACCTCTGTCAATCCAACAGTTTCTTCCAAATGCTCTCACAGGTGAGTTTGAATCTGTCTTTATATTGCAGGTATTCATATAAGAAATGTGCTTCTATCAGCAGTTTTCTGTGTACTTCTATATGGGCTTCTCAGTCTTTCTGACTCATATCATTGGATATTTAAGTAAATTTATGACCATGCCTATTGATATTAAAATAGTTGCCACAATTATCCTATAATAGAGATGTTTATGACAAAAATCTCCAAATCTCATTATTATGTAAGATATCTATAGCAAAAGCCCATAGTCAATAAAAGTCAATAAAATGCCCATATGGATGTCTCATTATGGTAAAGAGGACCAACAAAGCAGCATTAGTAGTGAAAGATATAATCACATGGCAGGAGTTGGAGACTTTCCACTGTTCTGCCCCTCACAGATGCACAGTCATGAGATTGTCAGGAGAGGGAGAGACTTGAAACCTCAGAACTGAAAGAGAAATGAAAGGGTCATTAATCACAATACAGCAGATGCTAGGATCCTCCTTCCAGCATTTTTATTAAAGCATTATTCTGCCTTCCAACTGGAAGTTATTCCATTATAGAGCTTTGACTCTGTGAAAAGTGCTCTTTATGTAAACTTCAGACTGCTTCCTTCACCATCACTCACCATTTATCATACACAATCATCTATTTCTACTTTGTTATCTTCTTATCAAGGTGAAATATCATCTGATTCTTCAAAGCCCTTTGTACTTACACTTGAATGTGCTGCAATCTTATTTCGAGTATAGAATTTGTATTTCAGTTATGGCCTGAGAAATACATTTTTTTTTGATTTACTGTTTTCTTGAACACATTCTTGGTGTCATAAGCATGGGACATTGTGTGAAAGTAGGGTAAATCAGAGACCTTAAGAGATCTCAGGATGTAACAGGAAAAAAAGAGGCATAAATATAATTTTAATAAAGATAAGAGTATGAAATATTGCAATTACAGATGATAAAATTATTATTTCCACTTAAATAATCTTAGAAAATTTGCCAGTTTGTTTTAAACTACACATCACACTTTTAATTCATGTTAGATTTACTACCCATAACTTTGATGAGAGGATTTGTGTGCTGTGGAAAGTAACAGTCAGGAACTTTAAGAAGTAGTAAAAAAGTGTTTTGGATAGATGGTGTGGGTCAGGAAAGATCACAGAATGCCATGAATAAACCTCCAGATTTATTCTCCAATGACTTATTCAGTAGGTTAAATTATTTAATAAATGTCTGCTATATTTTTGAACTTGTATTATCTTTTCTTATATGAAGTTTATAAAGAAGTTCTATAGGTACAGACCTTTAACCAATAAATAAAATACATAAGCAAACATTTTTATAAGCTAAGATAATATTCTGCAAGAAAAATACAGATTCTATGAAGAATCATACTCAAATGACATCTGATTATCATTATGTTCTTATTTTTATTGAGATAAGGTGTCATTACGTAGGTCAGGCTGCTTTCAAACTCACCATGTAGTCCAGTCTGGCCTCAAACTCTTGGAGATTCCTCTGCTTCAACTTACCTAGTACTAAAATTACAAGCATACACCACCACCATATCTTGCTTGTGATTAAAATTATTATTTCTGTGTGTCTTCAACATTATCTATAATGTGGATAAAACCAAAAAAATAGTCCAAAGGAAGAATGCCTTTTATGAGTCAGTGAGATTTGATCAGGATACTGGTTTGCAATATGACAAGAGTACAAGCATTAAGGATGTTTAAGCTAAGCATGGGAGATAGAGGAGACTCTTTCAGTGTAAGATAGGACTCTAACTGGGCCCAAGGGGAGGTGCACCGCCAGACACAAATCTAGGCTAATTGTGGGTAACACTTTGCAATATTGTGACTGTCACATGATTGGCTGTCACAATAATCATGATTGTCAACTTCATTAGATTAAGAAACACTCACAGATTAGCAGAGAGTGCTCTTGGCTTTGTCTTTGAGAGTCACAGAGGAACGGCCTCAGGTACTGTGTATGGTCTCTCTCCAGTTCCTCTCTGGCTTTCTTTCCCTTCTCTGCTTCCCTGCCACTGAGAATTAAGGAGCTTTGCTCCATTGTGTTTCCACTGCAATGCTTCTGCCTTGGAGCCTGCTGATTGTGTCTTTAATCTCCTGAAACCATAAGCTAAATTGTACCTTTTCTCCTTTAGACTGTGAGTCTTGAGTACTGTGTTTCAGTGGCAGAAGGTTAATATGGGAATAGTGAGTAAGATCAGTGGCTGATGAACCACAAAGAACATAATGCTGAAACATGAAGAAATACAAAATTTCAGTTTTTAGTGAGGTGTGAGTTTTCCGACATAAAACCTGGATGGAGACTAGGCAAGTGCCTGAAAGCTTCATTTGAGTTTAAAAGACATTCACAATGAAGTGATTAAAATGTTACAAAATGACTCAGGAATGGATCTTGAAACAAAATTCACTTGAAGAAGTTGAAAGCATATTGACAAGAAAGATACGAACAGATTCTAATTTTATTTCTAATGTCTAGGATTTGTCATTTCCTCAGTGCAATTCTAGTGTGCACTCAGTGTTGAGAACCATTGATGCACAAGGTAAAACCACGGAAAATTTGTGGGCAAGATGAAGATAGAGGCATATAGTGGAAGATAGGGTTGATTGTGAGCAAAACACAGAGATAGAATGATCAGGGTTCCACATACGTGTGCATAGAGTGAAAAGGGAAAGAATGCTGGCTCTTTGATCATCCTCATTATTACACTGTACTTTCTTCATGGTCATGGCTCTTCACATTACCTTGGCTACATGTTTCCCTAACTATTTACTGGTCTCAGCAGAGAACTATCATTAAACACTGCAGCTGTATGTACCATTTCACACCAACAAGGCATCATCACAGGATAAAGAGCTGATACAGAGTCAGTGATTTAGGCACTTAATTTACTGAGCAAATAAATGAAATGATGATTACTGTTGACTCAGCTTTCATACCAATTGTGTCTACACTTTTCTATTTTGTTTTTAAACTTATTATACTAATTTAATTTGTCATGTTACATTATGTTATGCTGAAGTGCATTATTTAAATTTTATATTTTTTCGACACCTGAGAGGGGTTCAATGATTTCTCCCAGATCTCATAGCCACTGATGAAGTCCTTTATCTTCTTAGTTTTGATCTCCCCATGAATTCTAGGTGGAATCTGCTCATTTTGAAAGTATTATATCATTGACACCCTTTCAGAACTCTTATTTTTACATTCAAAGATAGATTGCATGTTTGTATAATTTTAACATGAAGTATTAATTTCTTTTTCATATTAATATTAATTTCTTCTCTGTGTGTTGATGGAGGCTGTGCCAACTAGGGATGCAACTAAATGCAACACAGACTCTCATGATAATAATTGAAGTAGGGAAGCAACCTCACATTGATGTTGTTTGGTTGACTTTGTAAGCCTAAGGTGGGTAGTCTGAACAACTATTTGGAGGATTACAATATGCAATATAGTAACGATAGTAGATTTCCTACTGTCCTATCACTAGTTTGTTTTGTTTCATTTTACTGTTCTGTTTTACTCCCTTTAAAATAAAAATTAAAAAATTAATTTCCTTTATCATTCATATTTCTCTCGTTTTTGTTTTTTAAAACCCATTGTTACATTCAAAACATTTTTTCCTGCAGTAAGATAGTGGGGGAACTCATGGAGCTTACTTTTCCCAGGCATTCTTGTTTTCTTAGAGTCTCATTGAAATAGCTAAAAATCAATTCTTTCTAATGACTTCATCCAAGATCAAACTGTGATTTACTTTTATATTTAAATAACAGAATAACATTTTTATCCTAATTTTTACACATGAAAAACAGACAAAAATACATGAGATTGGGATATAAATAAGTTGTCTACATCATACATCTAGTAACTGGCTGAGTAAATATTTTGACCCAGATTTGATTTATTCCAGGTCTTGCTCTTAAGGTTTGAGTTATGTTCTCTCACAAGATTGGGCAATCAGCAATATCTATCTTGCATGTAATTTATTAGGATTCTAGATCACAGGGGAATAGAAACAATATAAGAGAATGTGTGTTATTCCAGCTCACTCATTTACTCCATTTCTTTCCTTCAATCTTTAGGCTGAGTGCTAAGGCAGAAGATAAATAGATAGGAGCAAATTTCAGCTTTTTAGAAGGAGCAGACGAAGACCAACTTCTGTTCTCGGTGGCATGGGAGCTGAGAGGAATGAAAGTCTTGATTTCCTATCTGTCTTCCTGACTGGCATTCCAGGATTAGAAGCCCAACATGTCTGGATCTCTATACCCTTCTTTGTCATGTACATTGTGGCCACTGGGAGCAACAGCTTAATCATGGCAGCAGTGCAGGGAGACTCTGCTCTACATGAGCCCATGTATCTATTCCTCTCCATGTTGGCTGTCACAGAAGTGGGTGTCTCTGTGTCTACACTGCCTACTGTTATGGGCATTCTTTGGTTTGATACACGTAGGACAGACTTTGGTGGCTGCCTGGCTCAGATGTTTTTCATTCACACCTTCTCCTGCATGGAGTCAGGGGTCCTGTTGGCCATGAGTTATGATCGCTTTGTAGCCATCTACAATCCGCTGCATTATACAGCTATCCTGACCCTACCCCGCATCATGTCCATGGGTCTGGGCATTACACTGAAGAGTGTGGCATTCATGGCCCCACTTCCTGTTCTTCTGAGGCAACTTCCCTATTGTCACATTAACATTCTTTCCCATTCCTATTGCCTCCATTCAGACCTGATCCAGCTGCCTTGTGCTGATACTAAGCTCAATAGTATCCTGGGTTTGACCATTGTACTTGCCACTTTTGGCCTGGACTCAGTGCTCATTGTGGTGTCATATGTGCTGATTCTTTACACAGTACTGGGTATTGCTTCTGGAGAGGGAAGAAGGAAGGCTCTCAACACATGTGTGTCACATGTCTGTGCAGTACTTGTGTACTATGTGCCTATGATTGGGGTGTCTGTGATGCACCGTGCTGCCAAGCATGCTTCTCCTTTGGTCCACACAATCATGTCTAGCATCTATCTCTTTGTGCCACCAGTGCTTAACCCCATCATCTACAGTATTAAGACAAAGCCAATCAGAGAGGGGATTGTCACCTTGTTTTCTTGCAAGAAGGAATTGACCTGAATGACTCCAGGGGAGGAGGATATTCTTCAACCCACAAACTCTCATCATGTTTCTGCAGTTGACAAAGGTGCACACCAGCGTTTTTAGGAGTCTTGAATCTAAACCACATTCTAAGTTCATTCCTTGTCACATTTTGTATATGCCTCTGTAAGTACATGTGGTACAAATTTACTCACTAATCAGTCATGACAACTTCAGGGTAAAAACATTCACTGTCTCTCTATTCCCTAGGGGCTCCTACGAAAAGGCCTAACCAATAGCAAGTTGACATTAAAAGCTTCTGGGTTAATGCTATTTTAATCTAAATAAAGCAAACATTCATTTTAAGGTGATGATAGGGATTAAGAATACTCTCCAGGAAAAATCATCCCAGGTATATGCTTTTGAGTAAAGTAAGTAGGTTTTCTGGTTTGCTCTACATACTGATAGTTTATTGACTTGTTTTCCTCAGTGTCCTTATAGCACTATTTTTCACTCTCAAAATTTTCCCACTTTAAACCATAAATTATCTGATAAATCTGGCTTTGAAGCAGCCTCCAGTTATGTAAGGAACCAGATTCCCTCCACCATCCAATGGTCTCTACACTCCAAGGCTCTGAGGATTCACAGCTGAGGAAAGGACCTTGACAGAGATGTAAAGTAAAATATGGACAACATCACAATTCCCTGGCTACAAATTGTGAATACCCAGCAGAAACATCTAACTGCATTAGTAGAATCCCAGATGTTATTCTTAGGTAAACGCCTGTACTTTCTATCACTGTGCCTGGATAGTTCCTCTTCTTTTCTCCTAATCTTTTTAGGCTACATGATCCTCATCATGCTGTATGGTGTGTGTGATTTGTTTTGTTCCTTGATGCCCCACCCCTTCAGTCCCATAAACACAGGCCTTATTGGTCCTGAGGGCTTACACCTGAAGTTTCCTGGAAATCTTGGTCAAATGGGAAAGTTCACCATGTTGTCTTCTAAACACCACAATTCTTTTTTTTTTTTTTTTTTTTTTTATCAGTACCGGGGATTGAACTCACGACTGCCTGCTTGCAAGGCAGGTGCTTATGCCACTAGCTAAATCCCCAGCCCCCAACACCACAACTCTTAGAACTCTATAGAGTAGATAGATTGCACCATGCTGGTTGATCAGTAACTAGTTTTATGTTTTCAGTGTCATGCATTTTACAACCTCCAGTTACAATGAAAATGTTTTTCTTACGTCATGCTCTCCTGCCCAATTGTTTTTGCTACCTGGAACATCTATACACAGTAAGTTTTTTAAGCCTTTATTTTGTTAGAATGGTGGTTGTCAAATTTTATTCATATACTCCACAAAACAAAGAAAAAAATCTATATATTTTGAGATTTATGTTTAAAATGTTATTATTAATTTCTATAATATTTTTATTTTAAAGAGAATAAACATGGAAAAACAAACAAACAAACAAAAACACAAATAAAACAAACAATAACAGCAGCAGTAACAACAAAGTCCCAAAACAATAGTGATACAGGATTTCAAGCAAGATGATAGGAATTTAACAGTGGTTGTCACATGGCATATTTTTATCTTCTAAAGAGTTGCTCAGATTGCCAGTTATGGGTGTGTAGATTTGATTAAATAATATGAGCACTAACTATTCCTTTCCTTGAGCTAATTTCTATAATTTTTGAGAATTCATTTTGAGGTATATGTCAGTTTAAAAAAGTTATATCTTATCTTTAAATGCACAATGGGATATAAGTGGATTATATTTGGAAACTTGACATCGTGAATTGAAGGAACAGGTTACTCTATCCATCTATCTTTCCATCTGTCTGTCTGTCTGTCTATCTACTTATCTATCTATTTTTTAAAACAGGGTTCTTTCTATGTAGTTGAGGCAGGCTTTGAAATCTACACAGCTCAGAATGGTGCCAAACTGGCATGACCCTTCTGCCTCAGCTTCAAGTACTGGGATTACAGAAGTACACTATCACACCTGTCAGATAGTTTACATATTTACCTTTGTTTCCTTTAACTCAAGTTTTTATTTTCCCTTCGTAGAAGAGTTTTGAACATATATGTTTTAAATTATTCTAATGATTACTTTATAACAATTCTTTGTGAAAATTTGATGTTTAAAAATCATGAGTATGGGGCTGGGGATTTAGCTCAGCGGCATAAGCGCCTGCCTTGCAAGCAGGCAGTCGTGAGTTCGATCCCTGGTACCGGTAAAAACGAAAAAGACAAAAAAAAAAAAATAATAAAAAAAATAAAAATCATGAGTATATAATATTCTTTAAAAATGAATTTTCCAGTATATATAATTGATAAGAACAAGATGAGGATAACAACATTTTTTGTACACTGAAAGTAAACTAATTAGAAAATAATCTCTTAATTAAGTGCATTGACTTTTTTCTTAAACTTAAAAAATATGAATAGCAATATGAGATATAGTTTGGCATGAATTTTATTTCAATTCACTATCTCTTTATTACTGTACATGTTAATATTAAAAAATTGGTTAGCATAAATAAGTGGATGATTTAAAATTGTTTTGTCATGGCTTAGAACCAGTGTTCATTAAATGCTTTTGTAATAAATTTAAAATACTTATTATGATCTACTATCTAAAATATTTTAATGGCAATAAATGATAGTTTCATTGGATACCTCTTTACCTTTGTTGAAAGCTGTAAAATTGATGTCATTTATCTTTTAATAGAGTATTATACCCAATCACTGTTATCATTATTTCATCAACATCTATGCCACTATTACTAGTAATCTCTTAGTTTGATACTTCAGAGATTTTCATATTAATGTGGTGCCTCTTGGAAGGGTTCAAAACTGCTTGACAAGCTTGCTTTTTCTCTTCTCTTTCCTCCACTTTGCTTCTGTTTTTTTTCTTCCTTTTCCTTCCCTTATTTTTCCTTTCCTTTTTTCTTCCTTACTTTCTCCTTTCCTCTCTTCTTTCTTTCTTTCTTTCTTTTTCTTTCTGAAAACTTTGTGGAAAGGAAGAAAATGTTATAAGAAAGGATACAGTAAAGCCAGGTACATTCTTGATCAAAGAAATTTTAAGTGAACAGAATATATAGACATTGAATAGGTTAAGATGCATTCCATTAAAATTTTCTTAAAAGAATCTTTGCTTAGGGCACATGTATTCCATTTGAACAACATTAGACTTGATGCCACCAATGATACCTTCTGTAAGCTAGGATGAATGTTCAAATTTCAGTTTTCCCATTAATTTAAACACAAAGTCTCAGTTTAAATATTATAATTTGTTCCAAGATACTATTCAGTGGATTTCATTACCTAATGTCTTCATTTATTAAAATAACATTTTCAAGCACCTACTAAGAATAAAGAATAGGTACATAATCACATATGCTTTTAAATGCAGTATGGAGAATGAATTAAAAATTTTGAGAGTAAGGGTAGGAATATTACTCAGCGGAACAGTGTCTACTTGGGAAGTACAAAGTTGTGAGTTCAATCCTTAGTACAAAAAAAAAGTAATTCGAGAATGAATGTTGCAAAACTTTCTTGAGGAAAGGTTTTAAACCTAGGCAGGTGACTATATCATGTAAGATGCAAATCTAAAATACAAACATGTATGATAGAATATAATAGAGTCTAAGTTTTAAGAGAATTCCTGTCATACACACTTCAATATGGCATAAATTACTTCATACTAATGCCTTCAACCTTAATTCGTGGATAATGGGAATTGTTTTTGCTTGTATATCTGAAACCTGCCACTATCTGTAATTCATTTCTTTAATTTTTCAATTTTGTTATACATAAAACTAGTTGCAGAATTCCCCTTTATTTTCCCCTTTATTCAGAGCAAAAAAACAAAACATAGAAATAATATGAAATGAAAAAAAAATAGGAAATCACTAGTTGATAAATTACATATTGTTATCTTAGAAGTAGTTGCTCAAGTCACAAAATCAAAGCATAAAAAGTGGCCAATCAAACAATGACAGTACAGACCATTCTGTTTGATGGACTAACAAAAACTTAGTAATACAGTTATCTATCTTGCACACTTAAACATACTCCTTCCCCTTTCATCATTGAGATTCCATTGGTTTCCTAAGATCCATACATCAGCAATTTTTTCAGCATAGTTGCTTTATGTAATTATAATAAGAGTTAGTTTCTTTTGTAACATCACCCATTCCACACTAGGACCCTGTAATGTTTTTTTAAAGAAGTATGGATCAATGAAAGTTCACCATGTACCATGTAAAGTTTTATGAATTTTGATAAATTCTTATTGTTATATGTGTATCATAACAATGTAAGAGAATGAAGCAATCACCTGGAAATGTCAATTTATTTATGAATATGAGACAAAAGAACAGGGTAAAATTCTTGATTAGATCTTGACTACTATGTGAATTTCATTATCTGTGAGCACAGTTTTCAATTGATTCATACATTTAATCAAGAAATTATTTATGGTGTTCTTTCTTCTTATTAATATTTGCATAATCCCAAAGTTTCTTTTCCCAGAATTAGTTTTTTCAAGCCTGTGCTATTAATTGAAAGAAAAATGTCAATTGAACTATATTTCTTCCAATTTTCTTGAGTTTTTTCAACAAAAGTCCTTATCATCATTACAAGCTCTCCTGCAAAGAGTCAGAAAAATGTCATGCTTCATTGATAAAAGTATCGGAGATTTATTTTACAGTCTTCATTTCCCTACTCTGATTATACTCTTCCAACAAGTTTATGACTCCTTTTTATGAGTAATTCAATAAATTCATTTTCTCGAGTGTACAGTGTGGGGGCAAAGGAGATGGATGATTCCATGCCGAATCTGCTTGGTCTTGACACTGTAAATAATGGGGTTCATTACAGGAGGTGCCAGCAGGTACACATTGGCCATGATAACATGGACCAGTGGAGAGTTGTGCTTGACAAAGCGGTGAGTCATAGATACACCAACCATGGGGACATAAAGTGTCATAACAGCCAGAACGTGGGACAAGCAGTTGTTGAGAGCACGGAGTCTCTCAGTCATGGAGGATATCCTTAGGACACTTCTCAGAATCATTGCGTAGGACAGCACAATAAGTAGAGGGTCCATTACAATGATGAGTAAGACTAGAGCAAATCCATACCAATTGTTAAGCTGGGTGTCAGCGCAGACCAGGTGAATCATGTCCTGGTGGAGGCAGTATGAGTGAGAGAGAAGGTGAGAGCCACAGAAAGGCAGGCGCTTGAGTAGGAAAAGGGAGGGAAGAACAGCCAGGGCACAGCGGCAGATGATGGTGAACCCGACTCTACCAATGATCTCATTGGTAAAGATGGAAGCATAACGGAGGGGATGGCAGATGGCCACATAGCGGTCAAAGGCCATAGCTAGCAGGACAGAAGACTCCATAAAGGAGAATCCATGGAGGAAGAAGAACTGGGCAAAGCAGGCCTCAAAGCTGATTTTGTGAATGTTAAACCAGAACAGCCCCATGATGGTGGGAAGGGTGGTGAGGGTGAGACCCAGGTCAGTCAGAGCCAGCATGGAAAGGAATAGGTACATGGGCTGGTGGAGAGATGGCTCTATGTGTACGACAGTGTATATGGCGGTGTTACCTATGATGGAGATGATGTAGAAGCAGCAGAATGGGATAGAAATCCAGATGTGGCAATCCTCAAATCCTGGGATGCCTGTGAGGATGAAGTAGAATGCATCTTGTGTGCTGTTAGCAGACATACTTGAGTAATGTAAGAACTCCAATCTGTGGGCTCCACATTAACAATCTCATAGCATGCTCTTGCCACAGGATCTTTATCTATTCAGTACAGGACACAGAAAGCATACATTCATTTGTTATTATTTTTCTATACTGCTGAGTGACATACAAATAGGAAACCCACAACTTTGGGTTCCTTCAATAAATTTCCACTTAAGGTTCATTTTTTCAGACTTTCATGTCTTGTGTTATGTAAAAAAAAATTAGCTTTATGTTTCCTGCAAACCGCTTGCAATATGTGTCCCAATGACTCTTGTGTATGAATCTTCGTATATACACATTTGCGTTTACTAACTGAACTGATTTCATGCAAGTTAACATGTCAGATAACTTGCAGATAATCAAATCTAGAAATTTAATTCATTTTCTACTAGAAATCAAATCCAGAAGCTTCATTCATTTTGTACTGGAAATGTCAGGAAAATAAGATAATCCTATTTCTTCTTATTTATTTGGATGATAGTAGTATTGAGACAGGGAAGTATTGAAGTGATTTTCAGGTTTCTTACTTAAACAACTGTGAGTTAACAGTGACAATTATTTTAATATGGAGCACTAAATTAAGAAGAGACTCTAGGGTAAAGACCCTTAGTTTGGTTTGTGCATGTTTAATGATTACATTAAAGGACCTTAGAAAAATTACAAACAAATGCTTAGAAGGCCTATTAGGACAGAGGGAAGACTACTAGGTGTCATAGGAATCTTTGGCATATTTTAGGTAACTCAGAACTGAGGTACTAATATAATAAGGTAAGCATGAATTTAGTGTGAGGAAAGAAAGAAACCTCAGATAGTATCTTTGCTATGGTTGTTACATTGTGTCAACTTGAAACTTGAGACACAAGTTGAGAGTTTAACTAAGAGACTCAGTAGGGAGCCAGGATCTTTGTAAATATCCTCATCTTATGCAAGGGAAGGGAACAGAGATTTTGTGAGTGTTATATCCCCTGGAGGAGTGGGAGTGGTCTCAGTGAACAAGAGAGAACAAGAGGTCTTTTTGCTCTGGCTGCTTTTGCTGACTGCTGCCTTGAAGTGCTGCCCTGTGCTATGCCACCCTGCCTTGGAGGCAGCTGATTATGGACTGAAACCTCCACAAAAAAGTGAGCTAATAAACCTTTCCTTCCTTCATTTTGGGTATTGGGTATTTTGTCCCAGCAATGAGAGCAAAGTAAGCAAGACAAGCATACAAAAGTAAAATTGACTGTAGATGTACGTTGAAGAAAAAGCAAAGGAGGTTGTATAGGACTGTCAGAGAGAAGGGAGAAAAACAAGGAAAATAAAATTTAGAGAAAAGGCAGTTACAATAGCATCATGATTTAGGGCTGTTCTGATAATCAGTTACATTATTGTAAAGGACGTATTCATTTTAGGAACATGAATGCCACCAGAAAACTTTGGAAAACATCTTAGTAGAATAATTGGAAAAGAATCCAAGTTACAGTAGCCCAAAGGTGAATTAATGGGAAAGAGATTATATATTCTTATAAAATGGGTCATATTGCCCCTTCGGGTCTGAATGCAGCCTTTATTTTTTTGTTTTGTTGTGTTGTTCTGGCAATAGATCCATGATCTCAAGCTACTGTGGGCAAGAACTCTCCCCTGAGCTATATTCTACCTTTTTAATATTGTATTTTAAAGGCAAGTTCTAGCCAAGTTGCCAAGACTGACCTCAAAGTTGTCATCTTCTTGCCTCTTTCTCTCAAGTATTTGGGGATACAAGCATGTATCCTCTCTCTGGCCAAGTTTTTATTCTTTAAATAAAAGAAAATACAATGACTAAGAAAATTATTAATTTTTATAGTATTCTGATAATGAAAACTCTTTATGACCATGTGGGAGTAAATAAATAATACTTAATGAGTTCCTAGAATCCATAGTGATGAGCCACAAGCCCCACGAGTCTACAAATACCAAACTATACTGTAGAACCAGGAATTTAAAGGTTAAAAACAAGATGCTGTTTCTCAGCTAGAAGCAGCACTGGGCCTCGTGACTCAGTCCTAACTCAGCCCTGCAGAAATAAAAACAACCTCTGTGGCTGTGATATGCTGGGGATGTGCTGTGCCAGGGAACTCAGAGATAGAGCCTGCCACTATGCTAATCAGGGTTGTAAAATATGTCAGACTCAAGTCTACAGAAACCAGGTGTCTTAAAGACAAGTTGTGCAGAACAAAGACAGTTAATTAACTCTGACCTGCTGGTCACCCCTTATGAACTGACCAATAGCAGATAGATAAGATGCCCACCGCTCTGCACTAACTGTAATGATTGGCTTCTGTAATAAATGCTTACATTGCAGTTTTTCCCCCTTAAAAACACCATCCCTGCCCCAACTCAGGGTTCTCCGTTTCCACCTGTTTGGAGGACCCCGTGTACACGGAATAATAAAAACCCCTTTGTTTTTACATGAGAGCGAGGCCCTTGGAGTCTTCCTTGCGACACTGGTCTAACAATACATCCGTGGAAAAAAATCTTTCAAATCAAATATTTTTAAGGAACAAAAATATAAAACTGGAATAAATGGGAAGAACAAAATAAATATAAACTGTACTTATTGAATTAAAAAATATAAAAGGATTAAAATATGTATTCAGAAATTATTTTATTGAGTCAATATAATTTCAAACTTAGACCATCTGGTAAGGAAAAAGAAATTTGGACAAATATTTAGAAGTAAATTCTAATGAAAAAGCCAAAATTGTAGATAAATTATAAAAACCAGCCCAAATCATCCATAAAATATTAAATAATAAAAATTGGAATGTTCTATAGGAATTTAAGTATAGATAAAAAAGAGATCATAGCAAAGGTTTATAAAATCTGCTAACACTGAGAACAAATATCTTGATTAATATGTCTGAGGAGTTAATAACTTTTCAAATATTCTAAATATTAAAGCACATAATGAGAGAGATGGCTGGTTGATTGTAGAAGCGTGAAGAAAATAAAACCCTAGTGATAAAATGCTCAGCCAAGCCCTGTGCAGGAGGCAGACCTGGCACCTGCCAGGACTGGCACCTGTATGACACCTTTGTGGGGCTCTCTAGCCAGGCGCTATCAGACAGTGAATCACTGACTGTGTGACGGCTCTTGTCCAGGTCTCTTGATCAGTTTGTGTAACTGTACAGTACTTCCCTTTTATTTTATAGCTCAATTCCTTTAGTTTGGTTTGTGCAAATATCAATAGGAAAATATGTATGATTTTAGTAGAATCCTAAGTATGAACTACCAACACTAAACACTTGAATTATATAAGGAAGTCCTGAAAGTAACATGCCAAATTGGGAGAATTCTTTAAACCCACAACATCAAGCTTATTATATAACTTCCAAAGAATTTTTCTACAGTTCAGTGTTTCAAACTTTTTAAAGAAAAATATGAATGATGATATGAGATGGCAGATATGTTTGCTTGCTCACTGTAGCAGCCATTCTGTCTGTATAAACCCTGTGGCATTATGTTGTGCTCCCAATGTACATAATAACATTTATATAAAAACACTTTTCACAAGTAAAATGTCTCGTGGTGTTTTAACTAAACACAACCAAGACAGTCCACGTGACTTGCCTGTCACTGTAAATGACACAGGAGAAACAACAGAGGCCACCTCACCAATAATTTCTATAGAGAGCTATGTGGCAAGAACTGTGCTAGGACTTTATATATTTAACTCCTGCAGTTAACGATTGCCTAATTCCTGTTTGTAACTTTAAATAATGAGAAGCATGTAGTGCTGGTGAAAATTGATTTGTTTTTTCTTAGAAAAACTTGGAAATCTTGATGGAACAAGTAGTCGACCATGTATTTTCTGCCTTGTGTAGAAGTTTATAAAAGATGGACACTACGGTAATACTGGAGACAAATGCATTCCATGAAATAGGCAGGAAAGAGGGTCCTGTACTGTACTGTGCAGATGGGACTGATTTCAGAAGGGGTGGGACCTGAAGTCTCTGGAGGAGGGCAGTGGAGACTTCAGATTTTCTTTAAGCCAGGAAGAGAGGGAATTACTTTGTTATTGTTGTTGGTGGGACAGTGCATGTGGGAGGACAAAAAGCAGAATGGAATTATGGGATCCACAAATTTTGTGAAGAGAATCAAGTAAAAAATGTAGGTGGGTTTGCACTTAGGAGTATGCATGTGTTTGCATACACCAGTGGTTGATGGGAATGAGAGGAGGAACAGGACTGATAGATGCACCATTCAGAATCCCATCAGAGAGAATCTGAAGGTTTATACTCAATCATTTTGTCCTCAGGACCAAATTAAGACCTATGAACATGTTAAAAACTAGGATAAAAAGATGGAGGGAAGAAAGGAAACAAGGGAGGGAGAGAGAGAATGAGGAAGGAAAGGTCAAGGTATAATATCACTGACAACTTGGCCACATTTTTCCTGTGCTTCAAGGCAGTTGGTTCTTCTGTCTCAAGCAATCTCCTGATAAATAAAATTCTTAGGAACTCTGTATCAAGTGCAAGGGGTGAGGACTTTGGCACCAGTGTGAATGTAATTTACTTAGATCTCCAGGTTTGTCCCAGGACTGTTCTTGTCCTTTGCAAGCCCCTGACTGGTTTATGTTGGTTTCCACTCATTCATCATTTGCATAGTTTCATGCTTCCCTTATACCTACTTCTTGCTGAGATATCTAATAAAACTTTTCCAGGGCAGAGAGGACAACAAATAAAAATAGGAGCAATAGGGATACCATCCAGTAATGGTCAGTTTTCAGAGCAAGGTTCCGATAACACTGAAGAAGTGCTCTGAAAACACCTTGGAATTTATGGCCATAAGCTTGGTCTCATGGAATAGACACAGGAGGGATAGTCTTTCTATTCATGGAGAGCATAACAGCCACATGAAATGCTTCACTCTTTCTAACTGTCTCCCTTCTTCTCCCTGTATCCCTCAAATGCATCTGCTTAATTCTCCCCCTTGGCTCCATGTAGTATCTCCTCATCTCATTCCCCAAGTTTCCCCCTTCTGTTCTTGCTGACAAGCCATGGAGCAGCCCAGCTCACCTGAGCCTTTCTTCTCTGTGTTCCTTAATGCTCTTGTCTTCTGTGCTCTCCTGTGCGTCGGCTGTGATTATATGTTCCTGGAGATCCTTGCTGGAATGCAGGAACAGGAGGGGGAGACCTCTGGGAAGATGCTCATTTTCCTACAGGAGTATGAGCACTGTGGTCTGAGACCTAGGCCCTGTGGGACAGAGCCAGGCAGCTGCTCGGTTGTTAAGGAGAAGCATTAGCATAAGATCATAACATGATCTTACTCTTGGTTTGAGAGAATGTAAATTGATTCTGGGTTGGAAACAATTTCTCTTGAACTGAGAAATGTTCCAGCAAGGAAGGTTTATCCAAAAAAGCCTGGGTAAAAGTAAAGTTTTGAGGCCTATGCATTTCAAGGATGTATTGTCCACATCCTATCAGAGAAATATTACTGTCAGGTTATGAAACTTTAAGTTTCCTGAAAAAAAGCCCTTATAGATTGCAAGAATTGCTTAAGAGAGTTCATATTTTATCTCCCTGTAAAAAGAAGTCCAGGTGGTTTATGTGAAAATATTTTAAGATTATTACCAAAAATACAAAGCCAAAAATAAAAATCTCTTGATTTCAGTGAATATGCAGGCACATAGTTTGAGAAAATAATAATAACTAGTAATAATAAATGTATTTGTGGTAACATTTCCTGAGTGTCCTGTATGAACCAGAAATTGGACTCACTGTCATATGGAAATGGGAAGATTTACTAAGACAGCATATGCTGTCTTAGTAAACTTTGGTTCTCTCTATCTTACTACTGTGGTTTATCTGGTTGTGACAGGGATTATGCAGTATTGGAGCACAGTTGTCCTTTAATGTGTCATGTCATGTCATGAATACAACAAAATTTAGAGTTGTTATGGCATGGAGACATTGGGGAGGTACCCCAGATCTGGTAGATTCCTGAGTCTCCAGGGACTTCCTCTCACAGTGCCCTCCTGGGAGGAACAGCCATGAAGAGTGTGTGGCCGAATGGAACTCTGCTCAGGCAAGGAAGGGCTGTGACAAGTGTCACCTAAAGACAATGAACCCTGGCATTTACGTGCAACCTGATTTATATAATTCTTCACCCCAACCAGTGTGAATCATCAGCTGTTAAATTATTCTTTGTGAAATTTTTTTTTGTTTTCTATCACTGAAAGCCTAAAGTATTTCTTTCACTTATGGCTTCTTTGTGATTTCACCTGTAATTTGCCCTCTAAGGGTACTTGGAGCCACACTGTATGAAGGCAAGTTCCACCTCTACACCACTTCCACTGTTTCAGAAGGAAGATTGTGATGATGGAGCCGAATATAAAGTTAGGAACCCTAAAAACAAAGAAATTAAATAGAATTTGGGAGAGGGAGATTTTATTATCTGATTACTACAATTTATAAACTATAAGTAAATATTTTCAATATATGTATATTCTTCAACATGTGAAAGTGTAATATTTCCAGTAATACTTTAGCAATACTTTAGCAATATTTTCAGTAATACTTTATTGAAATGTGAATATAAAATTAATCATTATTGATACAAATGTGATGAAGAAGGCATTAGCTAGAATTTAAAAGCATTTTAAATTCTTTATTTGAAGAAGATGGAAGATATATTGAACACTGTTGGGCTTGTAAACTGTTTCTTAACATTTTGTTCATACTGACAGAAACATAGTTTATTATTCCAGAAAAGTATGAGACATGCTTCAACTTTAAATGTCAAAATTAAATGTGATGACGGAAGATAGAAAAGAAGTGTATAAATTGGAATATGTGGACTAGGTAAATCGAACACATACTTACACATGTGTCAATTCTACTACAAATATAAACTTGTGAAAAATACGATATGGGGGAAAACAATAGCAGATGCAAAATTTTCAAAAACAAAAAGTAAAACAAATGTGTATTTGGAAACTGGCTTGGAGAACAAAGAGTTATGGAATCTGACTGCCGCAAAACAAGTGAATAAGAAATTAACTCTTAATTTTAATGAAATTGAAGCACCCAGAATTAAGGGAAGAGGATCAGAGCATGTTGAATTCAATATAGGATATTTTGTGGAGTCCAGTATGCAGATAAATTAGATGCAAATGTTCAACCTGTCCATCACACAAGCTGGCAGTTATCACACTTTAAAAATGCTGGACTTCATTATTTTTAAGGTACATTTTTATTGGTGGATTATAATCCTAGGTAGACATAACCATTTCATAAGTACATATTCCCCAATAGTGATCACAATGTGAACATATTCTGAGGTCTCAGATGAGATTAAGTCATTTTTTAAAATGTTCTTTACACTTGAAAAGAATATGTATTATGTAACAGCGTGCATTTAATTAATTAAATAAAAGTTCTTTAATGATGTAACAAGATTTTAAAAATCTACTGATTTTTATTTTTTAATTTTGCTTTGATACATCTCTTATCAGGAATATGTAATGGAATCTATCATCTATGAATTTATATGCTTATTTTTGTTGTTCTGACTATTGTCCTTTGCACATCTGTTCTTTGAAACTGTTATAACTGCTTTTCATTTTATCAGCTATTGCTTTAGGATTGGTAAATTCCTCAAGGGGAATATGATAAATATTAGGCTGAATTCTTTAGACAGCTCTTATCTTCAGAGTGATGATCTTCATGCTCTTATTGGCTAGGGTGCTCTCTGAAATTACTTAAAATTATTTCCCTAGCTTTTCTAATTGTTCTTGGCAGGTGGATTGGCTTAAAACAAATATCCTCCTGAGTGTGGAAATAGCTACAATATTTCACACATTTAAATACTATAAATCTTTTTTTTTTCTTTTTCGTTTTTAACGGTACCAGGGATCGAACTCACGACTGCCTGCTTGCAAGGCAGGCACTTATGCCACTGTGCTAAATCCCCAGCCCCAAAATACTATAAATCTTAACTTACCATACTTTCCTGCATTCTTCTTCTTTATTTATTTATTTATTTATTTTGTCTTTTTTGAGACAGGGTTTTCTGTTCAGGCTGGCCTTGAATTCACTTTGTATCCCAGACTGACCTTGAACAAGAAGAGATCCTCAGGAGGTTTCAGCCTCCTAAGTGCTGGGATATAGGTGTGTGCCACCAAACCCAGCTATCTACATTATTAAATGTATTGATTGATAATTTTCTTCTTTTGAGAAGATGAAAAATCAAAAAATAGTTTCTAAAGGTGTCTTGGATACTTTTCTCATTGACACAAAGTATCTATCCTTAAAGTTAAAGGCAGAAAGGTTTATTTTGCTCCTAGTCTTTAGAGATTTTAGACCATAGGCAACTTGCTCCAAGGCAGGGTGGTGTGGCAGAGAGGCGTCACAGAGGAAAAACAGTTCATGGTAGGCAGAATGTAGCAAAACAAGCAAAGAGGGTTTCACAGTGTCTCTGTGCCCCTTTCGTCTTATCCAGGCTTCTTAGGGTGGGTAGCACTCATACCCTTATCTCTAGTGCCATTGATCCTAGCATTGCACCATGAATCAATTCCAGTGTTGCACACTCTCGGTAAGCCATCTCTGCAAAAGCTTCACCTGTGGCCTTTTGAGGCTTTTGGGAGATATCTAGACACAAGCCATAACAGAAGTTCTATGTTGTAAATTACAATAATAATCAGTGACAGAAAAAAAGGAGACCCAAATCTGACTTTTCCTGATAATCATATTGAATCCAGCTTATTATTAAACCCCATAGGTGCTAACAGATTTCTAACAGAAGGGAAGTTTTCATGGTACAATTTTTTTTTTTTTTTTTTTTTTTTTTTTTTTAGGATTCAGATTGCCTGGTCCTGAAATTGTCTCTGAGCTGAGACTTCAGAACAATAGAGGTGTAAAGGTTGGAATGAGTGGAGCCTGAGTGAGCATTCTCTGTAAAACAATCATTCTAGGATGGAATTGAAAAGTGTCCATTAAATTGGTTATGACTTCACAAACATCTGGAGACAAACTATTTACATTTAGACTCTGCATGCTTTGAGAAGCCTTAAATATATAAAAAAGCACATTTAAAAAGCCCATAGATTTACCATGCAGTCAGGAAAAGTAAATGAGTTGCTAAGATTCTGATTTATGTTAAGCCATCTGACATCTTGGCTTCATCACCCCTCTGTATCTGTCTGCCTGTGGGATCTCTTTCATCAGATTCTCTAAAGATTTTTTTTTTTTACCCTAAGGAATAATCACTTCCTGATTGCTCTGACTATCTAGGGATTTTTCTTGCATGTTGCCTGCTAGATTTTCCCTGATAATTCTGGCATTGGCCTGCACTGACTTTGGCTGGCCATCAATGGGCTTTAATCTCTGTGGTTACAGGCGAGTTCTGCTAATCACTGTGACTCTACCTCCATGAGACCATTCCCTTTGTTTTTATAAATCCAAGTTAACCACTTAAGTGCTTAAAATTCATAACCCGAAGTTTTATTTATGTATGCAGGATTTTAATGCCTTTTCTAAACATTCTAAACATTACCAGGTGCCTCAGTGGATAGAAGGATGGAGAATGTCAGGGTAAAACATTTTCTATGCTCCATGAGTGGAAGGGGCCTTGTCTCTTTTGTCACTCCTTTGTCTTTTGGGACTAGAATTTGATTGACCTATTGAACGTACTCAGGAAATTCTACTCAGCAAACTACGAAAGAACGAAGGGATTTTAGTTTTTGTTCAACTGGTGTACATTGCTGGTTATTAGCTCAGACTCTGGAAACTGACCAGCTAGATTCCAGTGTAATCATTTAGATGTACAAGTATCAGTATGATGCTTAGTATACCAAAGCACTAGCTTTTCATCTGAAATATAACTGTGCTAATGCACACTCAGTAGTATATAGTACAGAAAGACTGACATTAAAGCCCCGAAGATTGTTTTAATTGATTTCCTTGAAAATATAATTATAAAGTATCTGTATTATTTAAATTCTTAAAAGGCATGTCCAATCAGATAGAGTTTATTAATGATTATGAAGAGGATATTGACATTTCCTGCATCTGGATGGGAGAACTTCAGAATTTTGAGTAACAAGCACAGTTGTAATTTTAGGGACTCCCTACTTGATGCATTTGTGAAATTGTGTGAATGACACGTCACAGTCTATATGTGATGGCTCCTTTGAGCTAGCTGATATGTTCCCCTGTTATAGAGTTCAGAGACCAGTAACTCAACTTCACTTCCTCTCTCTTTAGCTCAAATGATTGAACAGATTTCTCAGAACACCTTCTAACTTCCAATTTCTTTTATTTCTTATGAGGAATTCTATGTTTTCATAAACAGTCTTTCCTGTATTCTTGCTCCAAGTCTGCAAGGTTGTGGAAAGCTTCATGTCACACAGTGTACCTTAAAAAATTCCATCAGTTCTGTGTATTTTTGGGTGACATATAATCTAAAAGCGTTGTATCTTTTCTCCTTAGTCCATCGCCATATCATGGAGAAATGCCTGTGAGACACCGTGTTTTAAGATAACATCAGTTATATGAGTAAGCCAGGAACATATGTGATTATAGGAAAAAACTAAAGTAACAAAAACTCCTTTTTTACTGTGGCCTTGACTGTACTCTCGTTCTTTTGTCTGACAAAATCCGGACAATGCTATGACTAATATCTTTAGTCTTAATGCTATAGACAATGGGGTTGACCACAGGTGGGAAGAAGAGGTAGGCATTGGCCATCATGGTTTGTAGCAGAGGGGACACACGCTGCCCAAAGCGATGCACCATGGACAAGCTAATCATAGGCACATAATAAGCAAGCACAGCACAGATATGTGAACCACAGGTGCTGAGGGCTTTCTTCTGTCCCTCTCCAGTGGTAATACCTAGTACAGTGTGGAGTATGAGACAGTAGGAGACCACAATGAGCAGTGAATCTATCCCAAAGGTAGAGATAACAATGAAAAGTCCGTAAATATTGTTGACAGATGTGTCCCCACAAGGTAGGTGGATAAGATTGGGGTGTAGACAATAGGAATGAGAAAGGGCATGATGGCCACAAAAGGGCAGTCGTTGTAAGAGCACGGGCAATGGGGCCATAAGCACAATGCTTTTCAGTACAAAAACAGCTCCTGTGGCAAAGATACGGGGCAGTGTCAGGATAGTTATATAATGCAGGGGACTGTAGATGGCCACAAAACGGTCCACAGCCATGGCCAACAACACAGCTGACTCCATAATAGAGAACGAATGGATGGAGAACATCTGGAGAAGGCAAGCTTCGAAACTAATTTCAGTCATCCCAAAAAGAAATATGCCAGCCACGGTAGGGAGAGTGGATGCAGAGATACCAACGTCAGCCAATGCCAACATGGCAAGAAAGAGATACATGGGCTGATGGAGAGCAGGATCTGTTCTGATTACGTGAAGAATGATGCCATTCCCAAGGAATGTAATGATGTACATCAGGCAGAAGGGAACAGATATCCAGATGTGCTGTGCCTCCAGTCCTGGGATTCCAACCAAAATGAATGTCACAGGTAGAAATCCTGAAGAGCTATTGAGATTCTTCATATTGTGATCTCATCTGATAAGATCAGTGCCTCAAAAATGATAAACAAATTGATGAGGTAACATTAGTATGAAGAAATTTTACTGGCACAGAGAAAAGAGAAGCTAAGAGTAAATGTAGATTCAAGTGACCAAAGGCCTCATTTCTGAAAATTGACAGATGACCCCCTCACTAGGAAATTCCCAGTGTGAAAGTAGTTACTGTTTCCATTGAAGGGAAGTTTTAAGCTGATAGAACTTAAGTAAATTGTTGCACACTTTGTATCAGACGGAAATGGCTATTGTGTTGTGATGGTATGAAGATACTAACATGGTAAGATGGAGACCAGAGAAAGCTACAAAGGAGACAAAAATATGTGAGCAATCCATTCATAAGATGTGTGATAATGCTGGGAATAAGTGAGCAGATATTACTGATAAATGTATAGGCTCAAAGCACAAAGCATGGTATAAAAATAGCTTAATATCTGATAAGTATAGTTATATGAATAATTGGGATTCAAAAGAAAGTGAGATAGAGAGTGGGCAAGCAGGAGATGAACAGAGAGTGGAACCAGCAGGAGAGTTAGAGCAGGAGCAGCAATTTGCCCTAGGATTATGGAACCAAAGGGTTTAGGTTTTCTAAGCTTTAAGAAGCATTGGAAGCAGCTAGAATTCTTACGTTCAAAGGACCAAATCATTCAGGAAGAGGGAGGAACCTAGAATGGTGGATTTGTATGCAGACTTCAATGTTAATGCAAATATTGTCAGAATTATATCCACAACATCTTGACTTGCAGTTATCAAATACAACTTACTTCACCCACTGGTATTTTGTTTATAGTTTAGATGAATTCACTTTCAAGGAGTGATCCAACGTCCAGGAAAAGGAAGGCAGGAGAGAGGTAAATTATCTACCTAGAATGAACAGAGGATTACTTCGGTGAGCTGAGTCATAACCAAGAGGCTAATAGAAACTTTAGAAGACAGGTTTATTCACTGTAGCTCCCTACATGCCCCACATACACACACGTTTGTTTACCTATTCGTGCAGACAGATGAATAGTTCCCTCACTTGCTGAATGTCTGTTTCTTCCCTAGAATGAATTTTTGACGAATTTGCAAGGAAGGGAGAGATTACTGTTCCAGGTTGGATGTTATTAGATTTTTCTCTGATTTGCAGACCTACAACCATTCTTTGCTCCTTCTGTTAAACACCCACATAAGATTTCATGAGCACTGAGTCCTGCATCTCCTCTTTCAGCATCTTTCGCTAACAGGTCACAGATATCTTGTCTTTCAACATGTTCAAATATAATTACAAAATGCCCTGAAGACTTCTTTCCAATGATGTTAATTCTAAAAGGAAAACTTCATAACATCACAAAAGGAATATAGTAGGGAAGAATCTGATTTGTTTTTAAAAGTTAAGTGAACTTTCTTAGTAAGGCATACTGAAGCTGAAACATGAGGAATTAGTAGACATCTTCCAGGTTAAATTGAAAAAAGCACAATACTGAAAAAAAGGGCATCGAAGGCAGTGCTTTGGACTAAAATGTGGAAAAAAAGAAAACGGTTTATATATTAGTATGTTGAAATCATTGATTTTTTTTCCTAATTTCTTTCTTTCATGAAAATATGGGATGAAACAACAACAAAAATTGTTTTTGGCTTCCTAGATATGGAGTCCCTGGGCACTTACCATTCTCTTGATGTAGTTTAACTCAGTATATATTCACTTAGGAAAAACTTTGTGTGTAGTTAACAGTTAAGTAAACTTAAAGTAGTAAAGTTCAGCAACAATGCATTGATTTCTAGAAATGATCACACATGTCAGAAACATCCCATAGCCCAGGACGAAAGAGGTACTTACTTTTTCATTTATTTTTTCCATTTTTGTGTGTCTTTTTTACCAACAGGATCAACATATCCTTTTAGCTCCTTAAGTGAGTCAGTACTAGTCTACCTCTGGTCCAGGCAGCGCTTTCTCTCATGCTGCCTCACTGAACTCTTCACTGGACTGCATCCTGTTCCTTGTCTGCCACACTTCACGTGATCTGATACTGGAAAGCACAAACCTTTGCAGCTGCTGAAAGTGCAGGTCTTTCTTGCCCTATCCATTCTGCCCCTCTGTGCTCTTCTTTGTGTGTCTTTTTTTTCCTCTTTTTGTCTTTCTTGCATTTTTGCATATATCATACCTTCAGTTTTGCATCTCCTTAGCCCTTTCAGGTCAGGTTTTCTTGAAAGAGATCATAAACACAATGATTCTGCTGAGTTTACATTGTTCAACAAGAACATTTTAGCGATTACGGAGACTTTAGGCCAGTATAATAAGACAGAAAAAATAATCAACAAAAGGAAGAAAATGTGATACAGATACTTCTTTATTCCTGGTGCTGGACAGAATTTGAGATGAATTCTTTGTGCAGTATAAATCTGTCTGCTTTATTTTTGGGCTTATTTGCTTCTTTATTTTTAAAGATAAATCTGCTAATATCTATGTAGGATGAATATTCTCAGTATTTAACACAATCCTTAAGAAACCAATAAATGCTACTATTTCCCACCCCTGAATATAGGTAATACTATCTCCTCTACCTGGCATTCTTTGAAGAGATTAATCTTCATAGCCTTTTACACAATTTCATATTAATAATACTCTTTTCAGTCACTTCCTGAGAGGTCACATTGGTGAGGGGAGCATAAAGATAAGGAGTTTCTACTTAACAGATTAAGATCTAAGTAAGAAACACTCATTGCATGCAAAACTAAAAGTAACATGAATGTAAAATTCTTTGTATAATCACTGAGTCCTCTGAGTTTTTTTCATTTACCATTCAGTTTAGAAAATTCTCTCATTCTACCACACTGATTCAGAACCCTGTGGTGGTAACTGCTGATTAGGAAAAACCTAAGGGCTTCAGTGTGGGGTAGAGGTAAGACTCTCTTTAGAAGATACTTTGGGAGACAGGGCAGTGAGTTGTGAATGCAAGCACTCACCACAGCACTAACGGGGAACAAGGAAGTTGGCTCCAAGTTCTACCTTGGCATCATTACCTTCCGGATACTGGGACTGGAATGCTGCCTTCCTCCTCAGTGATCACAAGATCTGGGAGTGTAGTAATAGGGAGGGAGTTAGATTCCCTGAGGAACAATTACTTAGTTAATTATATCACCCCTTCTTAAAATCAAAAACCGCTAAGGGAAATAAGTAAGGATATAGAGGTGAGTATAATTATTGAGAAGAGTAATTAAATAGCTAATAGATATAAATTACTTAGAAAGAATATCACCTGTAAAATTACACTATAGAAATTGGTTAATATAGCTATCATGGGACAATTTTGTCTGAGAGAAATAATATCTTTTTCTGTGGACATCAAGTATTACTTTCATTAACATGTATTTATCAAGTAAGTAGCAGAATTATTATTTCCAGAAAACACCAAGGGTGCTGAATTTCATGAGATGGCAGACTCCAAGGGGCTGAGTCATGGAGAGGGAAAGTTCCAGACTGGGCTGGAGTGAAAGTGGGGAAAAGATTAATTAGAAAGCTGCAGTTACGAGGGTTTCCAGGCACAGGTAGCTAGCGAGAGCTAACCAAACAATGAAAGATGTTCCAGAAGAAATACTTACAGGAGTCTAGCATAAAGACAGGCAAGAACATCTTGAAAACCTGATTCCTCAAGGTAGTGTTCATTAAATAATGCAGAATTTTTGGGGGTCAGAAAATGGATTATAGATTATCAATAAGTAACCCACTGAAATTATTAGAATAACTAAACCCAAGCAAGCCAAGAGTAGAAAACAGCTAGATGCATACAAATACTTATCCCAATATATTAAAAATGATGTTATCTGGTATAGTAAGACAGCTGAAAAAGAATCTCGGACACATTGAATGACAAATGTCTAGCATGAGAAAGATGAATTTGTATAGGACACAGTCACTCCATGTAGATGAAGAAAATCACTGTTTCCATCACATAGAAAAATTCGGAGATACAGAGATGCTCTTTTTTCGCCTCTTGGACACTCAACTACTTGGATGTTTCAGATGAAATCTCCAAAATTTATTGGAATTAAACCACTTTGTAAGTCAGGTGTATGAATGTGTTTTTGAAATGAATAAGAGAAATGTGGTTATCAGAGATTTATTATAATGAACATCTTCAGAAAGATTGGTACAAATCAGTTGTCAGTTTTAAAAGCCAAACATGAAATTTTTATTCTTATCTCTCTCAGAAGCTTCCTATTCTGTGTAGAAAGAACATTTGTATACCATGAAGTACCAGTCTAAGTTTCAATGATCAGGAGAAAGATAGAAAAGAGGCCGAGTGTTAGCAGCCTTTGAAAAAAATGTGAAGCAGCGGGGCTGAGACAGGCCAGGGTGGATGCTGTCTCAGCAGATTGGAGAAGTTTATATCATGACCAATAATGAGATATTCCCATTAGAAATTAAATTGTGTGCATAAAAGCTTGTTGAAGCAATAATCAATGGTGAACTTTCTTACAGAAAAAGCAAAGTACATTCACATTTTCAGTTTATATTGCTTGATAATTGTCCCTACATTTTGAGGCAATTACCAAGTAATATAATGCTAAGTAATTTAGAATCAGATGGAAATTAGAATTCATTTTTTTTTAAGAATAGGAAGATTTACTGGAGAAAAGGAATGGGGAATAGGGAGGAGAAATAGGAATATTTCCTGAGAGACAGGAGGGGTCCTGAATGGGTTGCTCTAAAATCTATTTTCTTAGAGGCTGGGGATTTAGCTCAGCGATGTAAGCACCTGTCTGGTGAGTGTAAGATTGTGAGTTTGATCCCCAGTACAAAAACAACAACAACAACAACAAAAAAAAAAAAACTATTTTCTTGATCTGTTAATGTCTGTCTAATATGAACAACATACCTACTAGAGTTGTAAGATTGGGTAAAATATTACGTTGAGACTTTCACAACTGTGACAGATATCTTAGATGTCTTTTTGCCATTTAAAAATTCCTCCCCAAATATACTCTTCTAAATCATATACCACAACTGAAACATTACCATAGGCTTTCCAACCATATTTAGTAATTAAACGTGGTTTTTCAAGCGTCTCCCAAATGTTTACAGAAACATTTAATCAAGCACGCTACTGGTACTGAGGGTGAGATTTGCATTAAGAACATTAGTGATTTGTTGAGAGATTGAAGGATTTGATAAATTTCAGGAAAATATCCTCAGAATATGTATAATGTTTCTTATTTTCTCTTGTGACTAAAAAAATCGATATTAATACAGAAACAGAAGGGGAAGGAGAATAAGGGATACATACAGCAATCAAAAGGGATTAACATATGCAATAGAAGGATGAAATAAATGTAAGGATCAAGGAAATATAGGTAACTTGTATTCATTCAGTCAATATTTCATTTATTAATTCACAAATTTTTAATGAGTACACAATATGTTGTGGGAACTACAGAGGTTAGGCCATGTCTGCAGTGAACAAAGCAGAGACAGCCCATACCTTATTGAGCTTAAAGTATACTTGGCTAAGAAATATTAAATTTAAAAAAACAATTCAGACATAATTCATTGGTCATAGTTAAGATGTGAAATGAGAGAAGCAATGAGAAGCAAAATGTGCTATTAAAATGAGGAAAGGGAGAAAACCTAGTGCTAATAGTCACTGAAGAATGAATGCTATGGAAGAGAGAGGGGCACTGACCGATGAATCTGAGCCGTCAAATAAAACAAAGTCAGAACATTTGTCCTCACTTTTGATCAGTTATGTTTCTTTTGTCTTATTAGTACTGTACATGTTTGCAGTTTATGATGACTCATTTACTGTGGGAAGTTAGTCTGTCTGCATAATTCATCTTCTTTTTTTAGTTCTTTTCCTTTCCTCCTTCCCACCTCCTTTTATTTCTTGATCCCTTACAATTTTGCAAAAGTCCTGTCTCTTTGTTTGTATTATCTGTAGTTTATTTTGCTTTTTAATTTATGTATACCTTGGGTTTCTCATGAGAAAATCCATGTAAGGCCTGGGAGTTTAGCTCAGCTGCACCAGTGTCTGCCTGGCAAGCATAAGGTCATGAATTTGATCCCCATACAAAAAAACCAACGAATCAATGGAACAAACAAAAAACCCAGGAAAATTAAAAAAGAAAAACTATGTAATATTTAAGCTTGTGTGTCTGATTTATAATCACTTCATTCAACTCAATACAATATTTTTTTTTTCGGATGACTTAAACTTCAAATTCTCAGGTAGACTAAGGATTTCTAGCATGAGTAAATGAATCTTCTTGTTCTCCACTTCATAATCGCAGTGTCTATCGATAGGAAATTCTTTCCAAGAACGGGGATTTAGCTCAGTGGCACAAGCACTTCCGCAATAAGTGCAAGGTTAGAAGTTTGATGCCAAGTACTAGAAAAAAGAAAAAACAGAAAAGAGAGAGAGAGAAAAAAAAGAAACAAAGAAAAAGATTTTTTTCCATAAAATTTTTGCAGGAGGAAATATGTAATATCTCAAAGCCAGCATTTGTCTAGAAACTTACATTCTTAATTCCTAAAATGTTTCCCCCAGGATTATTCTCAATGCATTCTCAGCTAAGAGCATATATGCCCAATAGCAAAACCCCAGATATAAGGCTTTGGTCTTAGCATTGTTTGATTCTAATTCTTCTAAGGTTTGAATAGGTTTTGTATATCTCTACATAAGTACATGTAAATGCATCTTTTTCTCTTTATCTATATACATATATACAAATTATACCCAATATCTATACATAATATATACAGTATATATATATATAAATAAAATAAAATATAAAAGTTTGAGTAACAGAAGAAAGTATTGAGCATATTATTTTGAAAAAAAAATCAAACAATGTAGGTAAAGTGACAACTTGATTGTTTTTGTCTTTTTTGAAACAGGATTTCACTATGCTGTTCAGGCTGGTCTTGAATTTGTTTATGTAACCCAGACTGGCCTTCAACTCATAGCAGTCCTCCTGTCTCATCCTCCTGAGTGCTGGGATTATAGGATGTGCCACCATGTCAAACAACTTTATGTTTTTATATGCATAAACTGATTTTTATGTTCTTAAAGTGCTAACATTTGAACATATGTAATTTATATGTGTATAACTAAAATTTTCTACTTCTTGCTTAAACCTTCAAAACCTATCAGCTTTGATCTTTTAAATGAAATAAAGTGAACTGATTTTTTGACTACTTCATAATATTACATAGTGTACTTAAACCCTAATTCACTTAATTATTAATGGTCTGCTAGGTTTCCTTAACTCTATTTTGAACTATGAAGTGAAATTCTCATTCACATCTCTGTGATAGTGAAAAACTTCCCCATATAAAGACATGGCACTGTTGAAAATTGAAACTTTTGAATTAGAGGGTAGTATGTTCAGAAAATACTGTATCATACTAACTCACTGCAAGTCTACACTTATGAACATCTGTATTCCTCCTACATTCATCAATAAGCAAACTTTTCAAGCTTTGATGGGGTGAGGAGCTCTCCCTCCTTCTCTGAACTGGCTGGTGATGCCACAGAATCACTGGACGAACAGTGTCTCATTGACCCTAACACTTTTAATATTTTCTTTGCAGAAGGAGTTGGACCAACCCCTGGCGAATCTGCTTGGCCTTAACACTGTAGATGATGGGGTTAAGCACAGGCGGCACCAGAAGGTAGACGTTGGCCAGGAGCAGGCGGACCGCGGGCGCAGTGTGCTTGGTGAAGCGGTGCACGAGAGCCACACTGATCATGGGCACATAGTAGACAAGGACCGCACAGATGTGCGAAACGCACGTGTTGAGGGCCTTGTGCTGCCCCTCCCCAGACGTGATGCTTAGCACTGCCTGCAGGATCAGCATGTAAGAGATAATTATGAGCAGTGAGTCCAGGCCAAAAGTCGAAGTTAAGATGCAGAGCCCGAGGATGCTGTTGAGATGAGGGTCTCCACAGGGCAGCTGGATGAGATCTGAGTGCAGACAGTAGGAGTGGGAGAGAGTGTTGTGGCCACAGAAGGGCAGATGCTTCAGGAGAAAGGGAAGTGGGAACATAAGCATCACACTCTTGAGTCCAAGTGCAGCACCAGTACCAGCAATACAGGGCAAGGTTAAGATGGCAGCGTAGCGCAGTGGATTGTAGATGGCCACAAAGCGGTCCACAGACATGGCCAGAAGGACTCCTGACTCCATGATGGAAAACGAATGTATGGAGAACATCTGCAAAAGGCAGGCTTCAAAGCAGATCTCAGTGACACCAAAAAGAAAGATGCCTAGCACAGTGGGCAGCGTAGAGGCAGACACACCGAGTTCTGCAAAGGCCAGCATAGCTAGGAATAGGTACATGGGCTGGTGCAATGAATGGTTTTTCTTGATCACAGCCAAGATCAGGCTATTGCCCATGATGGCTATGAGATATGTGGAGCAGAAAGGCAAGATAAACCAGGGATAGAGTGCTTCCAGGCCAGGGAGACCAGTCAACAGAAAATATTTTGGAGTGAATTGACTGCTGTTGAACATTTTCATGAGTCAGAAGCCTGAGGACTTCGCTTTGGCACAGGTGGGGAGTAACCTGAGGTGAGAAACACAACAGTTAATATACTGTTGATTGAAAGAAATTGCACAGGCTTCTGTTTATTGTTACCTATCAATCTTCTTGGTCTTCCCATTCCATGGTCAGGTCAATTTGGTTTTCAAAAGTATGTGAAAATGTAAAGTCACAACGTAAAAGAGAGGCCTCTGTGTAGAAGGAAGTATGTGAGACAATTGTATTTATCAGTGGTTCAAATTCTCATACTGATACCACTGACTATAACCGGCACAAACTTAAAGTTTTCTCTTTCTGCAGCAAAAAATGGTATAACATATTTTAAAAAGACATATGTGGAAAGACATTGGCATCAAGAAACCTGTGACTTCTGTGAATTCTGTAAATTCCTGTTAGATAATGTTGAAATTTAGTAATTGATGAGGACCTCCATTATGAGAAAAAATGATTTCAGTGTTAGTACAGTTTTGGTCAGGAGATAAAGCGTCTATCCCTACTATGGCAAAAGGCATCAAGGTGGCTCTTCAGTGAGGGAAACAAAATTATTTTGCTTATCGATTAAACATCTCTAAAATGTACTCAGTTCTCCATGGTCATTCCACACATCACTCTGGTGTGTCATACGTATGTATGGAGGAAGCTGTAGGAAAAATTTTATGCTCTGCAGGTTAATGGAAAGAAGTATTTTGCCCATAAGAATTTCTGTTTTTTAATTTTTAAGAGAAGAATTTATTGCCAAGAAATATTCTGTCCTTTGAAAAATTCTGCAATTGCCAACTTACATACTGGAGCAAAATTAGTCACTTTACTGGGTGTGTGGGCATGATGACAAGAATATGGACTCTCCAGCATCACTTTTCTGAAAATGTAAAATATGATGACCAAAAATTTAAATTTTAAATCCACAATAGCCCCCAAATGTAATCTACTGTGGCAGCACTGCTGATGCTTCTGAGACCCTAGCTGAGAAAGCAACATGGGTCCTGTTGCATTTATCCAGGAGGAATACTTCTGCCAAGATGAGGAGAGACCTCTGCATATAAAGAAGCACCTGTGAGCAAACCTCTGCACCACAGGAGGGAAGGCCATTCAAAATCTGTGTTTGAAGAAATGAGAGAAAAGGAAAATGATGTCACTTTCATCACCTGAAGAAAACAGATCTGAGTCCCTTCTAGAAATATATACACAATACAGAGAGCAGCGTATCGGTGCTGACGCTGCAGGTACTGAGCCGTGGGTGGAATGACCTAGCAGACAGGGTTTGCAGCCTCTGACTTTTGTTTCCTAGTGAGCTGAATCTTTGAGTCTGATCCTTTAAATCTGTAAAGCGAAAGTAACTATATCTATAATAAAAACTAAGAGGGGCATACAATAGTATATGCAAAAGATGCTTTATATACTGCAATAAACATAAGCTACCATAGAGTAATGTTGATCACTGTGGGAGTCATTAAGTTTTCAAAATGCATAGACCCTAGGAGTTTTACTGAAAATGAATTTTAGTGGTGGCACAGGGATTTCTTGATGTAGAACCAGTCTGACTCTGTGGGACATGTCTGATTTTCAGTTTATATGGCAGGGTATGTGCTCTTTTTCATCTCTGCCCTCCCATGCCTCTTTCAGAATATTGGTACTGTAGTCCTTACTGATTCTTTTTTTGTTTATAATCCTTATACATTTTTAAAAATTTGTAGTCATTTGTTTGGGTCTCTTAGAGTGTTCTGGTTATTTTTATGTTCCTTATTTAGGTCTTCAAAATTTCATGTCTTAGATTTCTGCTGTTCCAGAGCAGCAATGCTTAAGAGGTAGGACTGCAGGTTACAGGTTCCTATGGCTAAAGTGGGATCTGGCTGTCCGTGTCTCGATCTGAAAAGCAAGGATAGTGATTGCATCTCACCTTACAGGTTTGCTTGAAGCTGAAACAAGCTAATATAGTGGAGCAGTTAACATACAATATACTTTCAATAATGCTACTATTCTTGGTGAAAAATACTTGTACTGCCAATATAGGCAAGGTATTTACTTTTTAATATAATGCTTCATTTAAACTCTTCCTCCATCCTTGTGGATAATATTTTCAAATTAACCAATTTCTTATTTGCTTTCATACTGAAGATATTACATTTGTATCTTTAACTCAAACTTATCACATTGAGTCCTTTCAAAAAATCCTCAAGTATAATTTGATCTTGTTCTCAGACGCAGAAGAGACACTGATTTTCACATACATCAAAAAATTTTATTACTTTCCATGAACTTCTTGGACATCAGACAACTGAAGTGTTTGCACGAAAAATGAGTAACGGCTAAACTGGCAGATTACTGAGCATCACCTGCCATGCAAGAAGGAGTAGATAGTGTTTGAGAGAAAGTATGTCTGTCCTTATACAGACTGTAGAGAATGAGAAGTGATGTGGACTCCAGCCTAAACATTGGTAGGGTTACTTTATTTGCTACTTGCTTACATATTCATTTTAGGTACACCACTTAAAAGGTAAATACGATTCATCATAAAACACTTTTTCTTGGCACATCAAAATGGTCCAATTGAGGGTAATTTAGTAGACTTTAAACACAATCCATCAATTTGAATTATTAAGAGCAATGATGATTTTTGTTCCCTATGCCACTATTCAAGATGAAAAGAAAATGATTTTAACTTCACGGATGGATCTTCCTTGAACCAAACACTTCTCCATGCCTGTGAAACTTGACTAAGGAGGTGGAACTTCGTGGTTGGACCCTTGCATACATTCTGATCTAGGATTATCTTGCCTATCCTTGTCTTTCCTGGTCATTGCTGTTTGTCTCACTGATTTATTTTCTGACTATTGATATTTGTTCTTCTCTTTACCTTTGTTCAGCTCTCTGGTTTTTAGTTTAAGTAAAAATTATATTTTGGATAAGACTAAGTTGAGATGTCATCTCTTGGTGACATTTATTCTTATTTATGTAAACTGCTATTTCGCACATGATTCCTAAATTATAATTAAGTTATTTGTATGATTTTTCACAGTGTTTTACAAGCTCATTCAGAGGAATCCTCATCTGTCACTGGGACTTCACACACAGAAAGGAGGAAGGGGAAGTGGGGCATCAGAAAGGAAGGGCCATTAAACAGCAGTATTATTCTGGGCTGGTATTGGGTAAAAAATGACCTTGTCTTCTATTACTGAATGAGGACATTTTCAGAGACAGAAACATAACTTAATGTTCTATTTATTTCATTACACATAAGGAGTTGTTTCAATATAAAATCAAAGACCAGTGCTAATGAATAAAGTATGAAGTCTTAGTGTGAAGTATTTATCAAAAGAGATTAAACCCTGATATTTGCTAGGAAAGAGCACAAGGAGGAATGAACACAAATTGAGAAAAGAAATTTAAATGTATTGATCCAATGTTATATATCAGGCAAACTTTCAGGGTGTTTTCATATATTTGTATATTTCATCTTATTAACTCAAAATTATATAATCACATCTGATTTATGACTTTGAAGGCAAAAATAAGAGGGTAAACTGATCAACTGAAGGAAGACAAGTTTAATAGCACAGTCAAGTCCCTTGTGAAAAATAATTAGATTGGATGGTAATATGGAAGCTTCGGGTTCCTAGCTTCGGGTTTTCTAAATTTAAAGATTTAGGATACATCTCTGAAAAAAACACATGTGAGACCTCCCTTCTAACTCAGTGTCCTGAAGCAAGGGGTCATTCATGATACGAGGCAAGGGGAAATGCAATGTATATGATGAATAAGCAGCATCTAGAAGAAAAATCTCAGGTTCAGCTCACCTCTGGACCCCCAGGTTGAACCCAAACTCTGTTCTGTGAGCGTCTCCCTGCCATGGCTGGTCTCAGCCTAATTTCTGTCTTAATAGCTAGTGGCAGGGGCTCACTAGTTTGGTATTTATCATGGCATTAGAGCCAGTCCTTTTCTTTCCCTGGACTTCTTTCAGACTCCTGGGAGGCACAGGCAAACCAGCCTTCCAAGAACGTGTTTTCTCTGGGCCTGAAGCAATAATTGGGCATAGACTCTCAAAGATACTATCTGGAGAACAAACTATAAAAAAGTATATAACAAGAAGTGTGTGTTTGTGTGAGCATGGGTATGTGCATATTAAACTGTGTAAGTTTACATCTGAACATATGTATACAGGTGTATGTAGGCATACATACATGCACATTCAGGAACATTGATAGCCATGCTTGTTCATACAGAATTTTATTTGCAGATTTTCATGGATCTATGATCAGGTAATCTTCCTACATATGCCATATACCAATTCATTGTCTGTACAATCAGTTGTTTATATGTGCATGCGTGTTTTGCATTACCCCAAAATATAATAGTGGAAGATTCACTGAATATTAAAACCAATTAATTATTCCTTTCTTCTCCACATTTGAAAGCAATATCATATCCAACAAAAAATTGACTAAATATTTCAGTGGGAGTAAGCAGGAAGGAGAACATGCATTTTCAATCGTGCATTTCCAGGTATGTTCCAGCTAGAGGCAACAAAGGTTTTTTTTAGATTTACATATTAAGAGGTAGGAGGTGATCATGTGCACTGGGTGGGACTTGGAACTTGGTAAATACCTGTAATATTTTTTGTTGTATAATAGAAAGCTTGACCAAGAATTCATAGTTTATGATATGTGGCATAAAACATTTAATACGTATCAGATCTTTGCATTTTTTTACAATAGAGCATCTGATACTTTTTTCTTTTTTGTTTTGTGCTGTCTCTGTTACCTGTACTCACAAGTGGGAAAGACATAGTCATTCATCTATCACTAAACTGTTCCGAAATGTGATTTAATGTTCCCACATTTTAATGGACCATTGGTGATGCTTTAAGTAAATGACCAGTGAGTAAGTCACCTCATTAAGACATTCACCTTTTAAAAAATAAAATAAAATAAAATCTTTTCTTTCTCAGGTATGAATATCATTTCAGGGAATAAGG